GAAAAGAAAAGGAGAAAAAGGCGGAATTTCAGCCAATCAAATTTTTACGTAGTGCAAATTTACTATTTAGGATGTTGGTCATTGCAATATTTGGTAATTCCAAATTTGGAAAAAATCCTGACTGATATATCTAAACTGCAATTTACAGATTATTTACCAATTATTCACGTGACAAAGAAGATCAGCATAAAAATTTTCGGCAAGTGGCGCAGCACGTGATGTCTTTAGATGATTCGCACCATAATACTAATGTTCACTTTGTCTGGTTTTGTTGCAGCATGCCCCAATTAATATATTATGTGTTGGAAAAATAATATCTGCATTTTTTATTAATTACACAAAATTTTACACATTGAAAATGCCAAAAAATACTGAATTAACTGAAGAATTTTAGGCCTTAGATTAGTCTTAATAAAATTGTTAAACTTCCAAAAACTGCAGTTTATCATATTATTGAACATTACAATAATGATGAGATGCTTAAAAGTGCACTGAAAAGTAGTTGTCTAAAGGCATTAAATGTTAGTGAACAAAAAAGGGTTAAAAGAGAAACAATTAAAGTCCTGCAAAAACGATTAAGAGAAAATTTGTTGAGTTTTGTGATGTTGAAGTATCAATAAAAACAACAATTGTAATTTTTTCCGGAATTGTCATGGTAAAAGTGGTGCTTAGGCAAAAGAAATCAGACAGTGAGGCAATGGAAATCTGTGATGAATCTTGTATCAAAATTGATAGTCCAATTCATTTTTGGAAAAAAAGGTGGAGACATTGCAAAATTGAGAACATCAAGCCTTCTGTTAAGACAAAGGTGGTGGAATAATGTTGTGGGTGTTTGTATGGAAAAACAATCTTGAAGTAATAAAGAAACTCTTTTGATGGTGAAGAAATATAGGGCTAGTTTTCATATTAATCTTGTATAGTTGGCTCCCATAAATATATTACATGATCTATAAATTTCTAATTTTTCTTTATTAATTTATATACTTCACATTCTTCTAACAAATGAAACTGTTTGTTGCTATTTTTAAGATCCAAATTAATTTCATAAAAATTACGAAATCCATAATAACAATATGGTTCATTACATAATCCTAAATCACGAAGACTTAATGAATATCCAGAAATTCTTTTGTCATCTTGAGTATAATAAATGGTTCTTCCAACATGCTTTATTGCTTTGTCAGGATCTTCAACTTTACTTAATATTGAATTATCTATTTGATCTTGATCAATCTTAAAAATAAAACTTTTATCTGTCTTGATATAATAAGTATCATTTGATGATTTTTCTTTTAAATTCCAGCAAACTGGGTTATATCCCCCAATCAATTCACCTGTCTCTTTAAGTTTCATAATAAAAATTGTTTTCTCAATATCAAAACATTTCTTTTCAAAAACTGATTTTGAAAATCCATCTTGAGATCCACGAAAAATTAAATTAAATTTATACAGCAATCTATTTGCATTATTTAAATCATATGTTTGATCAATCCATTTGCAAATTAAAGATTTTATTTCGAAACTTAATAACTTCCCTTTCCCTGTTCTTGGACCTTTTTGAAATAGTAATTTTGGTTGCCATTCATCAGTAAGATAATATTCAAGGATTTCTTTATAAATTTCTTTATTGAAAATTTTTTTAAATGGTGTAATTTTTTTATGAAAATCTTTAGAAGTTATTTGATCAAACCTTACTAATGGAATAATATCTTCTAAAATAATTTTCAATTTTTTAAAATCATCTTTATTCCACTCTGAAAAACCTTTTTTCAATTCTTGATTTTGTCCTGTTCCCCATTGAATAACACAATCCCAAATATCAATTTCATTCATTTCCAAGTCATCTTTTTTCAATATAGTTATAAACATTGATTTCTCCATTCCTGCAATGTCATCAGATTTTAAAAATGATTCTGGATTTTCATCAATGCCACAATAATCTTGAAGTAAGTTGAATGATTGATATTTAGATGAAATTTTATTAATGTGAACTAAATTTTGATGGACCCATTCATTTTTTTCAACAATTAAGTTAATTTGTAAATCCTCAATTAATTCATTGAAGTTTAATTCATCACATGCTTTAAGAAGTTCAAGAATTTCATTTGCATCCAGATTATCTATATTAACAGTCCCATTATAAATATATCTTTTAATTTAAAAAATATATATTATTAATATTATTGTCAATTAGTTAATAATTAATAAATTATTTAAATAATTCTTACATTAAAAGAACTTCAAATATATTTGGAGAAATATTTTTTTTCTCAAATAAAATAATACCATCCTTAGATTTTTTTAACCAATTTCCTGATAAAGCAACTTTAAAATACAAAGACCTTGCTCTCAAAATATTGGAATGGGCTTTAAAAATTTTACTATCATCATCCTTTCCAATCTTAATTTCCACATCATAAGAATCTGAATCATTCAATAAATTTGTTAAATCATTAATAACTTTGCTAATATATTTTAATGGTAAAGCATCTTTGTTAGTCTCAATAAAATTTTTAATTAATATGTTGACATTTTCCAAAGATGAAAAGTTTTTATTAGACATTTTGAATGATTTTTTTTATAAAGTAAAAAAAAAATTTTTTAAATATTACACAAATCACATGCAGTCTATAAGTATCAAAACAATAAGGTTAACAAAAAGTTTTGCCAACACGTCTTCAACTGTAGGAATTGATAGTGATTTATTATTATTGACCAACATTCTCTAATTCCGTTTATTTTATTATTTAATATTATTACATTCAATTTATTTATATTGGTATTATATAGTACAATTTATATGTTAATATTATATAGTAAACACAAATTTTTTTGTTTATATTCTATACATTGCCTACCAAATCCTCCCAGAGTAAGTTTCATAATAATAAAAGAGTCCACTATATATGGTGGAACAAAATATTAAATAGTCGAATAAATATAATACGCAATCACAAGAACGAACCAAATCCAAGTCCGAGTCCGTGTATATTAAATAGTATTTGACAACTGTTTCAATATTTTCTAGTCTTTAATTTAATACTATTTTGTAAATTAGAATCAAATTAAGTGTAATTTATAAGTATGAAATATTAATGTTTACAAAAACATGAAACTCAAAACATAAAGAATATGGATATTTATCAATATAAAGATTTACACATTTTTGAAGGACCATCAAAGATGTGTATATTAAATTTTTTACTACATTTATAAGAATAGGGTTGTTAATGGTCCTGGTCCAGTCTGATACAAAGACCGCCAGTCTAATCAAAGGACCAGGCCGCAGCCCAGACTGTAGATAAGGCTTTGTTTCAATAACGAATAACATCTTAAATTCATTTGTAATGAGTTGATCTGAGGATCGACATACCCGATAGGGTAAAAACCAGACTGTAATATCTCGAGATTCAATCTTCGTCAATATACTACTTATCTGTAATAGGCTCATAAATTTTTGTAGCTTCACGAGTAATGAAAAGTGCATTGTAGTGTCACGACGTGACGAATACTTTGTAAGGAGGTGGATATTGATTTATCAACCCTTAATATTAAAAAATGTCAGAATTTCGACAACGTAACATTCAAAAATTATATGAATCAATAGACAATAATTTAAATAATAATGATTCAAATAATATTAATAACAGTAATAACAATGTTGAAATTGATGATAACAACAGTAATAGAAAATCATTGATATTCAAAAATTTTGATGAGAAGGATGAAGATAAAAAGAAAAATATAATATTATTATTTCTTTTTCTTTTAATTTTTAGAATAATAAATGCTTTAACTATTAAAACATATTTTAATCCTGATGAGTATTGGCAATCAGTTGAAATTGCTCATTATATAGTCTTTGAATATCCTTTTTTGTTGTTGGTTTCTAAAAAAAAAATTTTTCATAATTTATACAATAATCTTTGACAATCATTTATTCAAAAAACTTTTGGATATTTGACATGGGAATGGAAACAAAAAATAAGAAGTGTAGCTCATCCATTTATTTTTGTTGTTTTGTTTAAGATTTTAAAATCTTTTGGAATTCATGATTATGGAGATTTGATTGTATGTAACAATATCATTATCATTATCATTAACATCATTAATATTAATATTACTTTAATAATTATTTACTAATAAATAATATTATATATAGATATATTCACCAAGAATTTTACAAGGCATAATTGCGGCTTTTGGAGATCTATATACATATCGATTAACACAAAAACTTTTTAATGAAAGTGCAGCTAAATTTGCAGTATGTGACGGATTGTTATTATTATTATTACTATTTATTTTATTTATATTTTTTTCCAAAAATTAATCTCTATTTTTTCCAAATATATATATTTATATCTATAATTTAGTTATTTTGTTCAATTATTTCGTGGTTTAATTATTTTTGTTCTGTTAGAATGTTATCAAATAGTCTAGAAACGGTTTTAACAACCATAGCGCTTTTTTATTGGCCATTAACTTCTGATTATGATGATGATGATATGATTGTATGGAAAAAAAGAGTAAAGTAAATGAGAGATTTCTTTTATTTCTTTTCTCTCATTCTCTCTCTCTCTCTTAATTAATACCAATGTGTAAATGAATATTTTTTTTAGATCATTTAGAATTTCGTTAACATTAGCATCAATTGCTTGTATTCTAAGACCAACTAATGTGATAATATGGATTTTTCTTGGTGTAAAATTGCTTTGGAATGAATCAAAATCAAATAAAAATCATCATCTGACAATCACCCAAATATTACTTGATGTATTGGTTATAATGATTTGTTCGATAAGTTTGATGGTTGCGGTAGATTATCAATTTTATGGAGAATTGATATTTGTTCCGGTTAATTTTCTTAAATTCAATATACTAAAATCCATATCACTATTCTACGGTCGAAACCCATGGCATTGGTATTTTTCGCAAGGGATTCTTGTTATAACAACAAGTTTATCGCCACTTATAATATTAGGAGTCTATTATTCAAAAAAGTACAACTTATATTGGGACATTGACAACAACGATATTTCAAATGCTTCAATAAATTCAAATAGTAATTCAAATAATTCGAACAATTCAAATTCAATGAAATTATTAGTTCAATTAATCTCATGGGTTTTATTTAGTTATAGTTTAATTTCACACAAGGAATTTCGATTTATTTATCCAATTTTGCCAATAATGATTACAATTTCCGGGTTTTGTTTATCTTATTTATTTACCAATTATAATCTTCTTTATGGACGACGAACTGCCAGGGTGATGACGGGCGGGATTTTGGGATTTTTAATATTGACAAATTTACCATTAATTTATTATAGCAGTTTTGTTCATCAACGTGGTGTTGTAGATGTTATGAATTATTTTAGATATGAATTAAAATATCAACATCAGCAACAAATGTTAATAGAAGGAGGAGGGTTGGAAGGATCAGAGATTGGGAAGAATAGTAGTGATGTTGTTGCTATTGAAGATATTGGATTCCTAATGCCATGTCATTCAACACCATATTATAGTAACTTAAATTATAATGTAACTATGTGGTTTATAACTTGTGAGCCACCCATAAAGTAAGTAGTAATTAATACTACTAAACATATTAATTATAGTTGTTATTATTATTGTTATTCATTTGATTATTATTAAGTAATACAATTTGATTTTTACCTAATTAATTAAAAATATAAAAAAGTAGCGAATCAGCCCAAGAAAATTATTTAGATGAATCCGATTTTTTTTACAATAATCCGGTTAAATTCATTTATAAATATTTCAAACCAACACCAAAAATTCTTCTTAGTAATAATAGTTATTATGATGATGGTGATAGTTTTTCAGATTTATCATCACCATCGCCATCGTTTTATAAAGAATGGCCAAGTCATTTAGTAGTATTTGAAGCTTTATTAAAAGATATTGAATTTATCTTGAAAGATTTAAATTATTCACAGGTAAAGTAAAAAAACAAAATTATATAAATTAATTAATTAATCAAAAATAATGTATTTATTTGGTTTTTGTAGTGTGCAAGATTTTTTAATTCTCATTTTCATGATGATCATAGAAGAAAAGGTGATGTTATTGTTTTTTGCAAAAGTAAAGCGAGTAAAGTAGAAGAAAACATTTAATAAATAAATTTTTATTTATTTTCTATAATCATATGTATATTTAATTATATTTAATGAATTAATTGAGTTGGATTGGATTGAATTGAATTGAAATGGAATGAAGTGAAATAAAATCAAAAGAGTTTTCGTTCCTTTAATTGTTATTACTACTATTATTATATTTTATATATATGCATGTATATTGTGATGAATTATATATTATGATGTATGATAAAATCTTGCTATGAAAGGAAGAAATGTTAAAAAATGATAAATTACAAAAATAAATTAAATGGAAAAAATTATTCATAGTAATAATCTAGTGATAAATAAATAAATAGGTTATAGTTAAATAAATTAATATATAAAAGGTAAAATAAGTTGATAAATTAATATGAATAAATGTTTATATCATTTTGCACGAGCAATCCACATTATTCCAACACCAATAGCTACACCGATGGCAACAAAACCTCCAACCTTTACAGAAGCTTCCAATTCCTCTGTTGATGACACTAAAGTATTAGTAGGAGAATTTGAAGAAGATCTATTCTTATTAGGAAAATCATCATGGTCGGGTATAATAATGTTATTGAAAGGAAATGAAGACGCTGAAGAATTATTTTGTTTGGCTTCGATATATAATCTGATCATTGCATGACGTTGTGATCTCGCTAACCTCATGGCAGTTATCAAATCTTCATTTGATGATAAGGTAATTTTATCATTTTCGTCATCGATATAACTTATGATAATTTCCACATCTTTTGGAAAATTCATTTTTGCTCTGACTTGGTTACACAATTCATTGAAATCTTGTGTAGTGGAGGTGAATCGATGAGATTGTTTTGACATCTCGTCTTTACACTTGTATACAAATTTGCCGTCACTTGATTTTTTGTTTTTACTGCTTGCGGTGAAATTCGATTCCGTTGTTGCTGCTGTGATAATTCCTGGGTTTGATACCGATGTTGATGTTGATTTACTGTGACTTATTGAGTAAGGTGTCGTGATTACTGTCGAGGAGGCATTGGTTTTAATTGGTAGATCGACGATTTCAGAAGAGTGAAATGAATTTTCATTTTCTGTCGGATTGGATATTGAACCATCTGAAATTGGATCATCTGCTGTATTCCAAAATTTATTCCAAACTGGACCATTTTCAGTCTTATCCCCTTGTTCACCATTCATACTCTTTAGCTATACATTTGTATATTTTGAAATAAATAATTATTAATAACAAATTTTTTTTTAAAAAATAAAGATTATGTGCATATGATATGGATATGATACAAACAGTATTTAAGATTGCATAAGTAAGTTTTAAAACATCTACAATTGAAATCACTATATTTTCTTCATCGTATACAGGTAAATGTTGATAATGTTTTTCTTTTAAAAAAAAAAATATTAATTTAATGTTTTGTTTATATGGGGGGAACTTGCGCTAACAAAAATGGGTCAAATTTTTTATTTCACTAACTACGGCCTTAAGCCTAGCTAGACCATGTTTTGTTGGCACAGTCCCCATAAATTTATATGTTGTATGCGTCTAAAATTTAAATGATTTAATTATTCATACCTTGCATTTGCTTAAGGGCTTGTAAAATTGTAGTATCAGTCGATATCATATCTGGTGCAGGTGTCATTACTCTAACAGTTGATGTTCTTGCTGGATCTACGTTATTGGCATAAATCCTAGATATATATAACATATATCATATTTACATTTATATATACCTTAACCACACAAATAAATAAATCAATATATATATGTATATATATTAATTACCTGGTAACAATATCTTTAGATGTAAGAATTCCAACAGTTTTCCCACATTCATCAACTACCAAAGCAGCAGTCTGATGGAATTCTTTCATTATTTTAGCAGCCTCTCCAACGTTTGTTTTTATGGAGATCTCTGGTGGATCTTTACTTTCTTCCGCGACGGATAGTACTTTTGGAAAGCAAAGATGCTTTTTAATGATTGCAGCCATTGAAGCAAAATTTTTATTGTTTAATGTTTCATGTTCTTCTAAAACAGCAAATAAATTCTTGGTGGATTGATTTGCTTTCTCTAGTCTTTCAAGTGCATGAAATAAACATTCCGTTATATCAAGTAATCCTATAATACGGTCTGTACTATCAACAACCGGCTTTATTATATAATAATATTTGTCAATGTAGTAAAAATATAATTAATCAGAGTTTGGTGAATATTTTTGATAAAAAATACAAATATAAATGAATGAATGAATATAAATATATAATACATACTAGATGTCTATAGCCACCTGACGCCATCCTATTTAAAGCTTCAGTTGCATCCGATGCATCATTAACACAATCAGGATTCCTCGTCATCACCATTGATAATGTTGTAGCATTAGGATTTAAACCTTCTGCACATACTCTAAACGTTATATCTTTATCTGTAACAATTCCCATTATTTTATCACATTCATCAACAACAAGAACTGCTGTTACCCTAGATTATGGTAGATGAGATTTATTTGTTATCAATATTGATTGAAATAATGATTGGAATAACATTAATACAAACTATTATTATAATTTAATTTATTAGTTGGTTACCTATTAACAGCCATCAATTTAGCTGCATCCATTAAAATTGTAGTTTCTATATAAATAGAACGACGCGATAATATTAATCAGTTAATTTCTCGACCAAACAAAAATCAAAAAGCAAAAATCAAATCTTTTAGATACCCGGTAAAGTGATAGGAGCTGAAGGCCTCAAAATTCCGATTAAACCAGCTGACCTTGACAGTTTTTCAAAAGGCCTCTTTCCTTGCATTTTTAAGACTTTAGTTAAATCGTGTTCAGCTTTCTTTCTTATTTTCTCATCTTTATCAAACTGTCTTTTTCTTGCCGATTCATTAGGAGTAAGGTTGATAATATCATCCTCATCATTAAATATTTGGCTTAATCTTTTATTTGCTGAACTTCTTTGACGAACAAGTGGTTGAGGCCTTAAATTTGCCATTTTTTCAATTCAGTAATTATTATTGTATTTATGATTTTTTCTTGTTCTTTTTTGTAAAAACTATCTAATTAAAAAAACTATTTTTTTCAAAAAATATATAATAAATTTTAACAATTAAAATATTTTTACACAATTTAGAAATATTTTTTCTACAGTTTGAATAAAATATGTATTAAACTAATTGTTTGTTTTTGAAAAAGAAGAAAAACAAAACAAAATAAAACTTTCTAGATAAACTATTATTTTATTATATAAATTTAGAAAATTCTTGAAACGAATTTAAAGAAAAGCCAATCTGCAAAAGACAGTGAGAGAGAGACCTTAATCCAAATAATATACAGACAGATAAATAAATAATAAATAATTATAATAACAATAATATTAACAACAAATATTCTTTTAAATATTCTTTATTCGGTTTTTAAAAGGTTTTTTGTTCCGAAAATAAAAAAATAGTTTTTTTATTTATTTGTTTTTTATATATATAGTTTAAATTTAAATTGTCAATAAATTTAATTTAATTGGTAATTTGTTGCGATGATGTAACTTTGTTTGTTTGGTTTACAGTTAATGAATGCTAACTTTTGATATATCAGGTAAGAGAAAGATCTAGGATTTTTACATTATATTATATTAATATGAATAATATGAATGCATAAATAAATATTCTATTGTATTTGCTAAGATATAGCATAACAAATTTGGGGTCTATTATTCAAATCAATATTTTATATGATAAAATCGCAGAACTTTAAACCTTTATAACTTTGTTAAAAGACTCTTCTGTACCGTTGTAGAATACAACTGTGGTGAGATTTGCTCTAGCGTGTTTGGTTGTTGAACTTATTATGTGACATCTTCGTGCACCATGCATAATAATAATATGAGGCGCAACAAGCAGAAGTGATTGGCTGTCATTCATCATTTTTGAATTAATGATAAAGTCAACAACATAGATCAAAGATTATAGAGGACCGATCAAAACTATGTATGGTCTCATACAAAATATTTTCTGCTGATCCTAATATAACGTAATTTTATCAATAAGAAATAGATAAAGTTCAAATTCCATCATCACCTCCTTCATGACTACCAAATAAACTTCTATTGAAATTAGTACAAGGGTAGTTTATATAACTTGTGTTTTACAACTAGATGTCAGTTTTTTTTGATTTGTTTGTTTACTAAAAAGTTCTACGATGCTCAATCATAAAAATTACGTTAAAAATGTTTTAAAATAAAATCCAAGTGCTCAATATTTTTGAATGTTAAGATAATGAATGATCTACAAGATCTACAGGATATTCAAATTGCCAAACAATTTTTAAAAAAAGTTAGTTCATCGATAACATTCAAGAAATGCATGTGAACTTTTTTGCAGATGGTTAATTGAGCTCATTTACTATAAAACCTAAAAACAATCTATTGAGTTGGATGAAGCGGACCTTTCCTTGGTTCCTATCATTTTGTGTATGTGCGCATTAAAGACGGGAATCGCAATCGGCTACAATTCAATTTTCGTATGTCATAATTGGTTGCAACAAGTCGCGAGCCAATGGTCACGCAAAACAAGTATATGATAAGGAATCTTACATAATTAATTACCCATCGCTATATAATGTAAAAAAGATGCAATGTAATATCAAGATATCAATAAGAACAATATCTCTGATAGCATATATTCTTCGGAGCCGTGTCAAATATTACTTCTGAATACATATTAATATTATTATTAATATATTTTTCGCGTATTGTATTCTGACTATATAGAGAGGTACACCGATGATAATTATTGAAAACCAAGGCAGATGGTACACGGGAGTTGGCAAAAAACAAACTTAAAAAATGGCTGTATGATTTTTATTAATTTTTCAAGTAAATCATAAAACAAATTCATTATAAAATAATAAATTTACTTGATAATTTTTTTTCTAATAGTACGAACACATCGAAATCATCACTTGGAGGATACTAGTGTTAGTCGTCAAAACTATTTTGAAGAGATGAATGTCAAAACTAAAATTAAAAGTTACATGTCAAAACTAAATCAAAAGTCCAATAGTCAAAAATCAAAACTAGTTTCGACTTATGGCGAAACCTTTTGACTTTTGCACGGTTGCGAAACTCTCGAGTTTTGGAAACCAACACTAGAGAAAATTTAATAAATTTAATAAATTTTCGAGATTCACTTATGGTATCTGTAATAGAAAATTTTGGAACAAAGGTTTCATCCTGTTGCTCAATATTTAAATACTCGCCTGCTAAATTTAATCATCAAACGGGTTGATTAAATCTTTCTTCCAGGTAAAATTCCAGTACAATTTTTTATTACTGTTGACGTTATATTCTTCATGCTTTTTTGATAAAACAAATAGCATCATATATTGTGACTGGGGCAACTACTTTTTCTAATATTTGAGCTGTCTCATCATTTTTTTTTTTATATATTACGCTTTAAAAGAATGAACAATACGGTTGTAAATGACTAGAAAGTAGTATTTGATTAAAAAAAAATTTTACATTTTTTACATTGCTCAATTTCATGATGCATTATCGACCAATAATAAAAATTTTCTCTTTTGAAGATGCATTTTTTTTATCGGATAATCAATCATTCCATATACTGACAGACTTGTATCTTCCAATAAATTTTTTTATCATCAAGTGAGCGAGGAGGATTTTATATTTAGAATTGTTTACTCGTATGATGTTGCTATATTCTTCACATAGAGCAAATCAATCTTAAGTTGACAAAATTTTTGATTAATTCAGATCAGAATAATGTAATATTAATATGTTAATTATACATCTTTCACAATTGAGAAATCATTACCAAAAAAATTAATTTTTATTTTTTATTTCGTTCACTAATTAAATAAACAAACAAAATCTAAAATTTAATTATCTAAATTAATATAATAATAGATGAAAATTTTTAACTTTTATAAACATCAATTTTCAATTTGTTTAATAGTTCAGTTGCTTTTGGGTGTTTATCTAAAGCAGCTAACTTCAAAAAATTAATTCCTTTATTTACATCTTTAGGAGCTCCAAGTTTTCCATTATAATACAAATCGCCCAAATTAAATCTGGCTGTTGTATTTCCATTATCGGCAGATAATGTAAGATACTTAATAAATAAATCTTTATCAAAATTTTTATTATTCACCAAAGAAAATGCATAACGTAATTGAGCATCACCACTTCCTTCATCAGCAGCTTCATGAAATAATTTAATGGCCTCTGATTTATCCACACGACCACAATATCCTTCATACATATAATATCCTTTCCAATATTTAGCTAGCGGGCTTCCTAGTTCAGCATGAGCACTAAAACAAGCCCAAGCCTTTTCCCTCTCTCTGTTTTTATGTGCTTTAAGACCTTCTTCAAGTGGAATAATTTGTCTAATTGATCCAGATTTAGTTGTTTTTCTAGGTTCTGATGTTTCTTTTTTATCACTAATAGAAATAGAATATTTACTACGTACTACACTACCATCTGGATTCAACCTTTTTCTTTGAAATGGGGTATTTTCACTACTTTTATGATAAGTGTTGGCCAATTGATTCAGTTGAAAGAAAATTTGTTGAAGGGATAACCTTAATGTGGGATCATTTTGCCAAGCTTATCCAGAATAATAAAATAATAGAAAACATTTATTCATATATTAATACTTGTTATTTTATCTAAAAATTTAAAACTAAAAAAAAAACTTATAATTTTGACAACTTACCACCCACAAAAATAGTTGCATATTCTTTTTGTAGTTTTAACATTTCTTTATTTGAATAATCAAAAGTAATCTCTTCTCTTTTTTCACTTAATACATGTTCTCTAATTTGTGGCATATCCCATTTGTCATAAGGAATTCTTTCAAACCCAAGCTCCCAAAGTAACATTCCAAAACTAATATGTTTGTGATTTTAGATCAAAATAAAATACATAATATCATCATCAAAATAAATTAAATTAAAAAAATAAGGGAATATCATGATACAAATTATGGATATCATGTAATAAATAAATAAAAAAACAATCTTTTACCTAAATATTTCACATTTAAAATTATAAGATTGTTTAAAATTATATAACAACTTTTCTGGAGCTAACCAATGCACAACAACTGTTAAATTTTTCAGTTCTCTAGTAGCACCTTGAACATCACGAGCATAATCAAAATTTGTAATTTTTGGTTCCTTTTTTTTGGTCATCTGATGTATTTAAATAAAATAAATATTATTTTAGATAGATGGTAAATCAAGTATATATATATATATATATATAGTGCTTTTTAATTACCACAATATTTCCACAACGTATATCATGATGAAGTATTTTACATGAGTGTAAAAACGTAAGTCCACGACAAATTTCAAGAGCTATTGATACTTTGTCAGGCCAACTAATCTCATAGTTATTATAAACCTCATCCAAACCGCCCATTTCTGCCCATTCAAGAACCATAACTATTCCATCCTCAACTGTAGAGAGACCATAGAATCTCAATATATTAGTTGAATCATGTAATTTTCCCAAAATAGCTAGTTGCGTCTGAACAATTTGATAATCAGCTGGTACATTGGTTTCATCAGGAATTGTTATAGGCTGACAAGCAACTTCTATAGTATCATTTAATATTTTTTTGCAAAGAAGAGGTGCTTTTTTTCCTCGAAAATCAGTTTTTTTTGGATACAGAGGCTCTTGTAAATTAGTTGGTGATATTTGAGCAGCCTTTATAAGATTAGTATTAGATTCTTGACTCTCTTTTGATTCTACCTGAGTTTTAATGATAAGTACTTCTTGCAGAGATGTGTTCATTTGTTTTTTATCAACAACAATTCCACCATCGATTGATTCCCAAAACTAAATTTTTAAAAAATATGTATAGTGTAAATAAACAAAATTGGTTCTATAATATGCATGTATAAATAAGTTTTTAAACCTTTTTCATTTTTTCATGATCCTCATTTAAACTTTTTTGATCAATTAATCTTTGGTCTTCTGGAGTGACAATCATTTTAAATTTTAAATTGTTCATGACAGTATCAACTTCTCGAGTAAGATTTCCAAACATTTCTTCGAAATTTTTTGCTGAATTGTATTTACTATATCCAGAAAGATGAGTAATATCCTTGAGAAATGTTTTTATTTCTGATAATACAGTGGTAAAACGTACAAAATACTTGTAATAATTCTCATCGCGAAAAAGATGTTGATTTTCTTCTTTTTTACGCTCTAGAGTTTTAATGTAAGCTAAAGCAAAATCTACACGATCTAAAAACACATTACAAATATTTTTGTTATATTCTGCGTTTTGAAAAATTTCAAGAATCTGTTCCATCACAGCATTTGATGTGGATATTAAAGGAACAAAAGGTTTAAATGCTTCTCCCACAGAATCAGGAGCTGATGATGTGTTTGGAATGACATCATCCATCTGTTGGTTTGAATAAGTGACACCTTCCATTGTTTCCATTATTTTGTTTTGAATAAGTGAAGTGTTGAGTGAATAGAATTGATTATTGTTATATACATATATAAATAAAAAAAAAACCAATATAGTATATAACAAATTTCAAATTTAGTAATTTTTGCAGATAGTTTCCAAATTTCCTGTTTTTTTTAGATTTTTAAATGACTGCAAAACATTAGTCAAATGGTCTATTATGTCCGATTTGGGAAATTTTTTAAAAACAAAAGCTATTATTTTCAGTAACGTTAATTTTTTTAAATTGGTAGTCACGTAAACACTAGCACCGTTTTGATGATAATGTTGATGTTTTGATAATGGAAGTAACTAATTTCCCAAAGTGTAGACGTGATATTTCACTCCAAATTGATAAAGATGCTAATGGGTCCTTTTTCCTGCTTCTGAAATTAACATGTATAACTCGACTACAACAAACGCTTCATCTTGCTAAAAAAAAATTTCACGTCAAATATTTATTTTTCGAATTTCCTTGTAGAATATTATTAATACGTATACACTGTATTAAAAATATTTTATTAGTAGTAGATCTGCGGGTTACATTTACACTTAAAAAACATAGGAAAATATTATGTATACCTGCATTTTTAATTAAATTATATATTAGATTTTATTATTACTCGATAAAAAAATTACTATCATTATTATTTAGGAAATGGTTTTTTTAAATAAAAGTCTATTATTCAAATTTAATAAAAAACAGAATTTAAAAGTGTACTTTTTTCCACAAATCATTACGTCCTGATTTCAATGTAAATTTAACAAGTATATATGTTTAAAAGCATGATAGGAATATTTTGTGTGGATTATGCAAAGGGTCAGGGATTGCTTCAAAAGTAATGATCCAAGAAACTTATAATAAATCAATGAGACGTGCATATCCAATAATATATAGAATATCGATTTTCGGTTTCTTTTTCGTTTATTGGTTCAGGTTTCAAGATCTCCAAAACTTAATGTTTTGGATTATATCATTGGTATTAACAGTTAATCGTAATAATTCATGGTTCTGATCAGGTTAGGTTATTGTAATACTCTGCTTGTATTTAAAGACCCAAGTTTCTGAAAAGAAAGTTCAATAAATTAACAATGACAGATATTTGATATTTAAAATTTTGTTATCGTTTTTATTTTATTTAGTTTAAATTTTTGTTATTTCTAATTGTAATTTCGGTAATTCTGGCTGATCAAATCACCATCATCTCAATAAATACTTTAATATAAAACCTAATATTTTAATAATTAAAAACCATTTCGGACAGATTGATAGATATTTTAAAATCATGTGGGAACTTGAGACCATGGGCCAAGGAAGACATATTTTAAGGATAGGTGAAAATGCTGATTCTATTAATAATTTGGTAAAGGTGGTCATAGTACTTACTTCAGTATTTGAAGCAATAATACTTCCAGTGTTGGTTTCTCTGGTCTGGATATCTATTTACAAAATTAAACAAAGAATGAATGCAAGTGATTTTAAATTGTGCATGGAGGCTACACACGGCTCTACTTTAAAGCTTTTCATGGATTTCTTTTTCAGATATGAAAGATTATCCAAGAGTATAATCGTATTCACCATTCCATTACTTTTAGCAACTATACTAGGGAAAAATATACCAAATATTATGCTCTCTGGGACTATTGGATTGCATGATTTTACCACCATTGTGCCTTCCAACATTGTATTATTCAATAATGATTCGAATTGCATTTACACATCATGCGCTTCTGACTTGACAGGAGAAAACTTTGCATTGGTTGTAAATTCTACCACCATACAAGATACCATGCGTAGAAATTATGTGCAAAATACTTATTGGGGTTTAAATAATACTTTGTATGCAGTGCGTGCCAAAATTGATCCAGGATCTTGCGTTTTAGGCATAGGAAATGGATCAGTAGATAGTAGTAATCTGGGGAATGAGACGGATACGCTCACAAATACTGGAAGGTTTACAGGTAGCTATAGTGATAATCATCCCTCACCTAGAAATGTTAATGTAGCTTCTTTTGTGCTCACTACAACGATGAGTGTCGAAATGACAGATAGATGTGATATACCTATGAATTTGTTTTATGTTTCTTCCGATTTTTCTCCTGATGTTGTGAAAATGGCCAAGTGGTTGTATGATAGCGGATATGTACATGATCAAATTTTTCCACGTGATTGCACAGTATATATGGAATGCACTATAAATATGGAATGGAAACAAATGCAAGTATTTGGAAATACACCAGATGAACTGGAAATATCGGAAGTGCGATTTAATAATACTATAGAAAAATTGCAAGAGATAGTTTCTGCCAATGTACTTGACTCTGACATCAATGGAAAATGGTTTGGAGAAAGGCTTATTAGTAATGTTATGGATAAAATGTCATTACAGTTAACAGCATGGAGAAACATTATCAGATTCCAAGGAAGCAACCACAGTTACAATCTGTTAGATCAGTTTGGTGATACCTTATCACAGTCGTTGGCATCATCTATACAAACTATGATGAACAATGTCAGCGTTGATGTTGATAAGAAGGAGATATTAACGGCTCCAGGGCTTTGGGTAGAGCTTACTGTTCTAATATTCGCAATATTATTGACATGTTTTATGTTAATGCCCATCTTGACAACTAGAAATCCAAAAATGTTGTTGCCACTTAGTATACTGGATTTTGGAATCATATCCAATTCCATTTTCAAAGAATATAATGGCGACGGCAGCTACAATCAAAAAATTTCTTGGCCATTTGATATAGTTTATTCACAAGATAAGCCGTATCGTTTGACTTCGGCGAATGAATCAGCCGATAATTAATATTTATTATTCTTTACACTTTATCCAAATCTTCACTGTAAATTTTTAACTAATTGTTATATACACACACACACATAAACTCGATAAGTCGGTCATTTATTTATATTATCAAGTACTTTAAACAATTGATTGGTGCGTCCTATTTATCGAGTTTACATGTGTATAACATTAATATAGATATTTTTTTAACAACATAAACTTGTTATGACTAGCATTAATATAAATAGATAAATGAATATAAAGGTTATACTATTATATAGTAACATTAATTAATATATATCAATATAAATAACATTTCGGCATACGTAATATTAATAATTTTATTATAATATTAACGAAAGACCTTTTTTGAAAAGAGGGTTCTTTTAATTCGCTTTTTTTTCAAACAAAATAATTTTTAATATTGACAATGTGGTTTCATTATCATATTTTTGTGTTGTGCCAATAATACTGCTAGTGTTGCTGTTTACGTGTTTACGCAAAAAACATAATAATAATTAAATTTGGACAAGATGGTAAATATTATACAGAAATTTTAATTTACCAAACTAAGTAATGATAATAATAAATTTCCGAGAATTTCCGGAATTCTATAAACATTCACGGATTGTTAAAGGCGCTCACAAGCAATATTAATAATACTTTTTTGAATTGCGCAATGATTTTCAAGCCAATAAAAATCATTACAAAATTTTAGTCATGCTGTTGCTCTCAAAATTTAATTTTTTAAAAGGAAAAAAAAATGTGTAATAAAAAAATTTATTTATCATTATATCACTACGTTTACTAAAACCAATTAATTCTAATCATAGTAAATATTTTTTTATAACATTAGCAGCAAATGACAATGATCAAGATATTTATTACATGAAACTTGCAATAGAACAAGCAAATCTTTCTAAACCAATTCCAACTGCTTACTGTGTTGGAGCCGTAATTATCTCCTTGCTATTATTTCATTCATTAATTAATTGATTTTTTTTATCAAGTAAATCTTCTTAATTTCATCAATCAAAAAATGATAAATCTAACTAAATCTGTCTATCAATCGACTCATTGATAAATATAGTTGATAGTCAAAGATTCAAAGATTCTCTCAACAGGATATTCAAGAGAACTTGAAGGTAACACTCATGCAGAAGAATGTGCACTATTAAAACTCACCTCTTCTTCAAATGATATCACCGCTGCCAAAGATGCAACAATGTATACAACTATGGAGCCTTGTAGTAAGAGGCTATCAAATAATAAACCTTGTGTGGAAAGAATTATTGAATCAAAAATAATAAAAAAAGTTGTTTTAGGTGTTAGGGAACCTGATAAATTTGTTGAAAAATGTGAAGGGATTGATTTATTAAGGAAAAATGGTATTGAGGTTGTTTCTGTGTCGAGTTTAGAAGATGAATGTTTAAAACCAAATAAACATGTTTTACAATAATATATAAAGAATGATGTAAAAATAGCGTGATGAAAGAGATATGGATAGATGGATAAGAGAGCGAGAAAATGAAATTTAATTTATTTAGTTGAGGTAAAAGTAAAAAAACTAATAATATCAATATTATGATATTTCAAGTATTTCAAGAATGTTGATATATATATAATTACAATTAAAATATAACAATATTTTTAATTAATTTTTTGGGAGGGTTATCATTAACATACTCTCAACGTCTCATATTCAAATGCACTGCCGTCTAATGTTCAATAACTTAACTTTCTTCAATGTCGACAGAAGAAAAGAAATTTTCAATTAAATGATAATTTGAAAAATTAAAATTTTTCTGTTGCACCAAGTATTTCTAAATTATATATATATTATAAACAAAATCTCTTTTTTGAATAAAATAGATAACTTTATTTTGTTCTTGATTGATAATCTATAGAACAAAGTTAGTTCATTTAGCCTTAAAAAAAAATATTGACATTTTTACGCTCTAAAATAGTATTTGTTGATGTCGAAGAAAAAAGAATCACAAACAGAAACGTTAACACGCCTGTTAGTTGATACTTTGATAAGGAAAAAAAAACATTCATTTATAAGAATATTCTTTATATCTGTTGTGCGTGAAAATGAATTTGTAATTCACGTATGTGAAATTTCATATCTAAACACCTCCACCCCAAAATTTTAATTATAAATTTCGACTTCACATAGTTTCAATTTCGCATACAACATATCTATATCTTTGAACTATGTAATGTCCAAATTGACTGATCATCAATGTAGGAGGAAGTAATGAATGTAATTCATCAAGGATATGACTTTTTTTTTTATAATCATAAGCATGGAAATATTTTAAAGCATCCGAGATAAAAGGAGGGGGGTCATAAATTCATTATTATCAAACTTATCATCGAGAGTAACGAGCGATTTTCCTCCATTGTATAAAACAAACATGAAATGTCACCTAAACTTGTTTGTAAAAAGAAAGTAACGATAACTTTAATAATAATAAGTAGAAAGTATCATACAATGATAATAAATAGGTCTGTTTACATTTCCTTTTTGGATGTTTAACAGGAAAAACAGCAAGCTACACATCATTTAGTTCGGGTAACAAACAACGTGTGTTATCGGTTCTTTTCATTTCTAATCTGATTCTTGGATAAAAAACATTTATACCAAACTTTCTTTATTTTATCAGTGTTTTTATAATCTAGGGAATCCTTAACGGGTTTGAAGTTTCGACAGGCTGAATTTATAATTCACAACAAGACTTTAAACAACATCAAATAAAAAAATATTAAGAACAAAATCTCCTTCTTCTATGTGTTTAAATATTTCAATTCAAAGCTCACATCTACAATCTACCATTCCATTATTTTTATATACTGTATTATTAATTAATTTTAAAATCATCAATTATGTGCAAAATATATATTTCTACTTTAATTACAACAAATTTTTGTAGTCCAATTTTAAGTTTGTGAGCTCGATCACTTCATAATGTTAGATATCTGAATTAGACCTAAATTTCTGTGATGTATAATTTCAACTGTTTTTTCTTCATCTTCTAAATCTATTACCCCATTTTTATAACCCCAGCAGGCTGAAACTAGTAGTATACACATAGACTTCCTAAATCATTAACAAGCATTTAGCATTATTTATATCATTATGAGATTTTTGTAGCAAACATTTTATGACATGTATTCAGAGCCTTCATGCTTTATAAATAATTAAACGAACGAGTGGTTCAATACTCTCTGCTTTATTACGCCACTGCTGTCATCCATTTTGTAATTAATTCCATCTGTTTTGAGATTGGGCCGACTTCCATTAATACCCAACAAATGCAACTAATCTCTTTAAAAAGTTGAATATTAATGGATAAAACCAAATTTATATGTATTTCGTGACTGCGCCGACCTTTAAATTGTTGTCAAATCTAATAAACTTATGGGATAGATGATATAATACTAACACACTTGTTTTTTTGCAACGACTCGTTCTCGGATTCTAGCAGAAATGTTAGTTTTTACAATCTATTTGAAAATTATCAATTACAGAATGAATGAATGGTATATCGAGATTCTGAAATACCTAAAGAAGTAAATTTTGGATTTCTTAAACATACTAATGGTTGCTGTGGTGGTCGTTGTGATAATATTTTTTAATGACTGGTGATTTTCAGATGCTCAAAATTCACTGTTGGTAAATAGTCACCACTTGCCTGTAGACTTAATAATTTTGTTCAGAAGTAACCGTTGAATTAAAGTCTGTTGCAAATTTGTTATATATTGTACTGATACCATTTTTTTTTTACGCTATTTCCGTAAACAGTATATTAACAAGTGTCATTCTATATATAATTAAACAACGACTTTGATCTAAATAATGTGTCGAATTTTTATATCTTGATCTTTCTGCTTTGCAGTCAAATGAAATCATGTACTACTTTTTATTGCGCGGGATTATTATATTAATTATTTTTAACCAGAAATTTTTTATATGGATTTCAATGACTTTGCAAATTTAGTATTATTTTGTCATCAAGCCATTCCTTAACATTTAAGTTGTAACTTTTTTTATAACAAGTTTCATGTGATAAATCTTTTAATTTTTAATCAACACGTAAAAAAATATTCATCAAATCAACTTTTCCTTTCATTGACTGATCCGGCTTCCTTTGTTCCATATGACCTTTCCTAGGGATGGGCAGATCAGTATAGTGCGTATAGTTCTAGGACTATATAGTAGCAGATGTAAAATCAATTAAATCAATTCCTGTTTAGGTTATTGCCAAATAATAGATGTAATGTTACACATAAATTAATTAAATATTATATATGCAATTTGGTAACATTTTAAACATATTGGTAATAAGCAATTACGTTTTGAATGTCTGTCTACATTGCAAAAGCCCAAAAACATCAATGTGCTAGTTCAGTATCTAGATGTGAAAACCATCTACGTCTTTGTCCAAATGCCACAATTTAAACTAAAGAAATTATTTTGGAGAACATTTTGATACTTCAAATACTAGCATACAGATAATTTATAATGTGATTGAAAATGCCATCAAAGAAGGTGATTAAACACATGAAAATTTTCTTGAAGAATTAAATAAAAGTGAAAACAATTTGATTTTTATGACATTTAATTAATTCAATATACTGTAATTAATGATTTAATTAAATATATAAATCAAACCTTTAGTATAAAAAAGTACAAGTTGAATAAAGATTTAATTGCTTGCAATGCTCATGTTTATTGTAATAGCCATAAAATTCAGTTTGTATTACTTTGAAAATCATCCAATAAAATTTCAACACTACTATTCCATCTCTAATATTGGCCCAATCTGTTTGACATGATCCCATTCGTTTAAAACCCATCTCAATCAATTTACGCTCTATTAGTATTCTGTTGCTTTGATATGTAACCTTTACTGGAATTGAAGTAAATCCCGGATTTTTCTTATCAAGGTTAAGCAAGATCTTTAAAAATTGAAAATGTTAAAAAAATTCACGACGTTTTAATACTTGTATCTAACCTCTTACACGCTTGAATTTCTTGCTCATTGAAATAATTATAATGTTTTTAATTTATCTCATTCATCTCTATTATTACAAATATTTACGATATCTACTATGAATTTAAAGAAAGATTTGCACGCAGATCGTAACTGTCATTTATTTATATTAAAGTGCTTTAAACAAATGATTGCTGCGTCTGACTTATCGAGTTCATATAAAAAATTTGTTTGATATTAATTACAAACAAGCAAGATACGGTTGATCCGGAATGTAAAGATCATATATTATTATTTGTAATGCCAATATTAATATTACAAAGAAATGAATCCTGTTTAAATATTTTATTCATAATTTTTTTTACTATATATGGGGCACACGAATTGACTAAATTTGATTTTTCACATACGAACTTTAAAAAATTGATATTCCTGCATGGAAACAAATATGGCATAGACTATATATTTTCAGTTAATTTGGAAAAACAAAATGATAGAAAATAATAATGTACTAGTACACTTTAACATCAATTAATTTTAGAAAAAAAAAATTAGGCATTTAAGTTTAGTATTAGGTGAATGTTATTATAATAGCTATAAATAATAATAATATTTCCATATATTGGCAATTATCAAAACAATTGCCACGAATACTGTCAGATGACATAAATGATAATAATAATAATAACCATTTAAAATTTTTATTCTAATAATCTAAAGTCGGATAAATTTACCCGTCAGGTGTTTCTTTTTTATTGAAGGGGGTAAATCGGACTATGGCCTCCTTTTCTTTTTCTTAATAAAGTACACATATTTTATTGCTTTATTAACTAACAAAAAAAAAAAGCTTGAGGATAAATACGACCAAAATTTCTTGTAGAGAGTATCAACAGTAGTTGGCAAATTGTTTATTATATCACAACCGGGTCATGTATACTTTGGACAGAAGGATTCACAACGATGTATTAGTATGGTAATAAGAAATATGACAAAAGATTTCCAATTTCCAATTTAGAGTGATGAGCCAACAAAAAACAAATGCTTAGTAATAAAAATGCGTAAAATATCAACCACGTTGTAGCGATTGCCAAGAAAGTCTTTTATGGATCAAGGTGTATGTATGTATGTACGTGATCGCGAAAACTTGCAAGACGTCCGTGAATTCGTAAGGAAAGGGATAGATGAGATTATAATTAAATCGGATGATCCATCATTGTTGATCATGAAACAGAATGGTACACTGTTATTAGGATTGATGCTACAAGATTAATTAAATTTTGATGTTTATGACATATGTGTGATATTTATTTATTTTTTAATAAATCAAGATTCTATCAAATACCAACACGCATAAATAATAATTTGTGCTACTACACACACAAAATAAAAACGGAAAAAAAAAGGTTAATATTAAAACCTTTTTTTATTTTTATTTATAGTTCCAAAAAAAATATATATTAATAATATTTTGATCATTAATTCAATCAAATTAATAACTTATTTACTAGTAACATAAATAAGATAAGAAAATAAAATAGCACCTAATTGATTGATTAATAAATAGTACTAATTAACAATGGAGTGAATATCGGGTATACATTACTTTAACATCCATAAATAAATAAATTAAAGTTTAACATTAAGAAAAGAAAGGGACTATTTCTTTTAATTCAAAATTGTTTGTTTGTACCACTAAAAATTAACCTAAAAAAACGAATATTTTTCCCTTATTTTTTCCTTTTTTTTTCTTTTTTGAAAATTTTTTTATATATACGTTCCATCTTCAAAAAAAAAAAATTTTTTTTCCAATAATGGGAAATCATAACACAAAAAATACATCAAAAGGTTCCCATTCCTATGCATCATCTTCATCTTTTACATCAACAACATTAGCGATTACGACATCACCACCATCATCAACAATAAAACGACCTTTATTAAGACCAATGAAATCATTAAATTTATCATTGTTATCATCACTCAAGTCATCACCTTTATCACCATCATCATTACAAGTTAAAAGACCTTCATTACCAACCTTCAGATATGTCGAGGGAAGAAGATATCAAAACTTTGTTGGTGAAAATATAAGATATCAAATGCCTGATGATAACGAAGAACACGATAGATTACAAAGGCAGCATTTCCTATTTAGATATTTATGGAAATCAAACTTTTCTTCTCCAATGGAAGATTTATTGAAACGCGGAAATTGTAAAACGCTTGATATTGGGTGATTATTTCATTCATCATATTAAGAGATATGTGACGAAATTTATATTTATTTACTCACTCCCTCTCCAATATTATATTGTTTCTGAAAAGGTGCGGGCCGGGAGCCTGGTTGATGGAATGTGCAAATGATTATCCGCGCTCTGATTTTGTAGGAATTGATGTTGTGGCTTCATTTCCAACACAAGTGAGCTATACTTTTTTTTTGAATTTGTCTGATCATCATCATCATTATATGATAATAATAATCCCTGATCATAATAATCATCCATTGTTAATCCATTAGATAAAACCAAGGAATACAACATTTGTTCAAGGAAATGTTTTAAATGGGTTACCATTTGAAGATGAAACTTTTGATTTTGTACATATGAGGTTAATGGTGGGCGCTTTTTCTGAACAAGAATGGATTAATAATGTAATACCAGGTAAGATTATTTTTTAAATATCTTTTTACAGATTTGCAACTTCACGTGGTTTTTAATTAACTTTTTTCTATCATATTGTAGAAATCATTCGCGTCACTAAATATAGAGGATGGATAGAATTGTACTGTATATAATAATCTACTACTGTTATATACTATTTTAAATATGATTATTAAATTTATAAATGTGTTCTTGTTTAGATGTGAAACAGACCTTAAATGGTACAAGTGTGGTCCATTATCAAATAGAATAATAACAGGATGTAAGTTTATCATATCGTTTTGTAACTTTTTACAAATGTAATAATACTAATCATATGTATTGTTATTGTAAATTAGTAAATAAATTCACAGAATCGAGAGGTGCAATAGGGATTGTAACTCCAATAATTCAACGTGCATTACAAAATAATCCTTCTCTAACAAACTATCATAGCATATACAAAGACTTAAATTTTGGTAGTTGGGCTGGGAGGTAAATAAAATAAAAAAAACATAAAAATAAACATAAAATAAATTTGATGATATTAATGTCTCTGCTTAAAAAATTTTAATTTTATATAGACTTGGTGAAATTGCAACTGAAGAATACTTGGTAAGAATTAAAAAAGAGCAATTAAATATATATGTACATGTATATGTTTCTATCACAAGTATCCATCTAATTCTCTTTTTTAAAAAAAAACTTTTTTTCATAATAATAATAAAAAAATAAAGGTAAGATCTTTACATGGATTACCAGAGTTGGCACCTATTATTGGAGTATCGCAAAAAGAATATAAACAAATCCTAGATAATAGACTCAGTGATGAAATGACTGAAAATAAAACATATACTAAAAATCATAGAATTTTTGCAAATAAAATTTAATAGATAATTATAATAAATGATTGGGAACAATAAATAAGCAAACTGTACTGTAATTATTAATAATAATATAATACTAATAATACTAATAATAATTAATAAATTGCTGATCGAGATGATCTTTGTTCATTTTTTATCTTTTTGAATGGGATATGAGAAGTTGCCAACAATGACATAATTCTATCCTTAATTATAAAGAATGAAATGTTACTCTTTATTTTAAGATCGATATTTTTAAAATTTAAAATTCGAATTAAAAAATTGATCCAATTCATAATTAATGTCATATCCTTGGATTAAATAGCGCACCGATAGCATTAGTACGAAAAAGAGGAGATTAATTGGGTTAGGGGGGAATTTGCAGCTGGAGATGGATTATTACCAAGAAAAAAGAGAGAGGAAAAACAATATCTGTTCCAATACACACTCTTTGAAGATCGAGAGTTTTTAAATTGCCCATCTGATCCACATAAAGAATAAAAAAGGTTAGGATGGCGAAAGAAAATATTTATCATGCATGATCTCGTGATTTCCTTTGGGAAATAGATCGGTTGGATCTATACTGTCAAAATCATAGTATAGAAATTAAGGCCGGAATGGATTAGTACATTTAAAGCTGATTTCACCATTTTGAAAGCGGCATTATCAAATAATTGGATTAAAAAATCCGATAATATGGTTGGCTCGTCTGAGACCACCTGTTGTTGCGCCACGCGCTCAAATTTCATTTGATCCATTCAAAAAATGCATTTTTTAAAAGGTAGGACAGAAAAATGACTTTTATACTTTTAAAATTTGCACAAAATTTAGGAGGAGCCAACTATAGAATTATTTGTAAAAAATATTTTGATTTGACAATTTATACGTTGTGTTTAACTATATACTTATAGTTTTGTTTATATTTCCTTGTTTGGACACATATTAATTCAATTCATTTTCAGTGTGTCTCTTGGCATTCACATTAATCTTTCTCTTATCTTATCTTAAAGCTTAACTTTAATTGATGGCAATGATCGACGTATTTATAGTAACCGGAAAAATTTGGACAAAATTACCAATTACAATCAAGTGTCTTTGAATGAAAAGCTTGCATTATCATAATTTTTTGTGTTTGCAAAAAAAAGACCCAAATATTATTGATATATAAATTTTTTCTTTGCTTGTATTGAAAAAAAAAAATTTTTTTTACTTTGGGGGCGTTAATTTTTCCGCAGCAAGTTCAAATCATTAATTGAAAACTCATAAAATCATTTAATCAAAGAATATTGGATTCAACAAAATTTAATTTAGTTTTATGCGCAAACGCACTCAAGACCGTTCTATGTCCAATGAATGGTGGCTGTAGGTATGTGTTTATGATAAATGATAATCTACTTTATATATGTATATGTTATAGATACACGTGTCTATTTATTATTTAACATTATTTATTAATAATAGTTTTATTGTTCAATGAATCACATTATAATATCATTCTATTATATTATTATTTTAGTGTGAAGGATATTCGTTTCCATTGGTTATTGGTATTAGTACCATAATGTATGTTTCAATTGATAATTTGACAGAAACAACAACAGTTGGAGCAGGAACACGACTGGGTCCATTATAACTTGAATTGGACAGAAACGGATACACGATAGTATCAGATAATTCATCGACAATGGGTTTATCTTATCAGGTGGATTTGGCGTACAATCACGTAATTTTGGAATTACTGGTTATTTTTGTTGTTGAGGCGCAATTGGTAACTTTTTATAAATCCCACCATAAACACTGATTTATTTTGGGGTATTGAAAGATGCGGAGGAATGAATTATGGGAGTGGAAATTAAAGTTGATCAAGTCATGAATAATTTTAATTTTCAACACAATTTAAATTATCTTAATATTTTAATTTTTATAGAATGAGCTTTTAAATCTTGACTGTATCTTTGATAATTAGTCATAGTGGTGTTGATGGTGATTTAGAAATGGAAATCATTTAGTGTCGCTATTAGATTTAATAATTAACCACCTTTATTTAATATTTAAAATGTGATAATTTAGGACCAAGATTATTAAAAGAAACAATATTTGTACAAAAGATTAGATTTATTTAATATTGGAAATTTCCATTTTTATCAATTCGTGGTAATAATAAAAATGAAAAAGTGGAGGTTGGTGTAATTCCAACAATTCCAGCTGGTAAAAAACAACCAAAAGAATTGATCAAGAATAAATCAATGTATTTCAATAATTCATTTACTAATAATCAAATATTGATCTTAAATAAATTGATTAACTTGAATAGAATTAGAAGCCTATGGTGGAATATCGCCTGAACAACTTAATGAATTAAAGCAACATTTTTGCATAGAAATGGACTTTATATTATTTATTAGATAATTTAGAATTATACAAGAAATGGTCAATTGCAATTGGAATTGGTTAATGAAACTTGATAATTTACTTGGACCTTTTTCAAATAGTCATAGTCATCAGGTATTCATTTTATTATTATTATGATTCTTTTTGGAGGGGAGGATGCAGGAGAAAGTGAAGAAAATCATATTTGTTTGTTTATTTTTGTTATTTCAAATTTTAGGAACATGTTGATTCAGATTTAAAAGATTCTAATTATGGATCAAATTTACCAAAATTGCAATCTATAAAAACAAAATATGATATTTAATTATGAACAGTTAATCTTGCCTTTAAATATTGAACAGCCTGATAATCTTACAACAAACACTTTCAAAATAATGACAATAATGATAATAATGAGCCTATAGTAGTAGTAGTGGTGATGTTAAACCATGTATGTATAAGATTTAATGGAACTTGCATTACTAATAATAATCATTTTTAATTTTAGTATTTATAATAATTTGATTTGTAAATAATTTTTCTAATTTATTTATATATATAATATAGAAGGATTTAAATTAAAGATAACAATATAGTTTTATATATTTTAAAATTTCTATATTCAAATTTTTTGTCAAAGTTAAAAAAAAAAAAGTTTAAACATTAATATAATTAGTTTTCTAATTAATTAAATGTTTGTATTTAAATCTATTTTTAACCAAATAATTAAAAATTAAAAATTAGATAATAGTAATAATAAATATATATATATACATACAAAGAAAAAATACAAATGATTATATAGTGTAAATTACTTGATACACAGACTCAAAAAAAAACCAATATCCTGCTGATTATCAACACCAGAGTCTACCACAATTTCATGTGAGTGATCGATCATTGACCATGACCATGTTCAAATTCTAAGAATAATGGTAAAACCATTCCCATCAACATGACACCAACATGTAATTTGGTTAATTTATTTTTATGTCCACCACCACCAATACTACCAATACCCTCTTTGGCGTGATGTCCATTAGTAACGTCCTGCATTACATGCATTGCAACATACAAAAATGTTCCACCTGAAAATAACAAAAGCATAGCAGTCCACCATTGCATACCAATTGGATCCAATTTGCTACTTTGTTGTATTAAGGCAAATGTACATAATGAAGAAAGTGGCGCTGCTAAACAAAAGGTTGCTAAATGTCTACGAATTTGTCGACGTGTATAACCTTCACGTAGTAAGATAGTTGATAAACCAAAAGCCGAAGGTGCTTTATGTAACATTATTGCTAAGAAAACTATTGTTTCAAGTGTTGGTTCATTTGCCGAAGCACCAAGTGCTATACCATCTGCTGCTGCATGAATAATAAGTCCTATTGTAGCTGACATTGATTTATTATTATTTTTATTATTGCTATAATGATGAGATGTAGTAGATATCATCATTTCGTCAACATCTTCAATATTAATGTCACGGTCAACATTATTAGGATTGGAAATAGAGCGAAGATCAGTCAAACTTATAACATTAGCTTTACCATGATGACCGTGTGAATGAACATGTGAAGTATCAATTTGATCTATTAAAAACATCATTACAAATCCTGAAATAAGTGCCATTCCAATATAATGGTGATTTTCATTTTCTGGAAGTTTAATATCAGGTAATTTTGATCTATTTTCTGATGATGAGGGTGTTGATGATGATAATGTTGGTGATGTTATTGGTGATGATGATGATGATAACGTTGGCGATGGAGTATTTTGTTTTATATTTTTGTTATTATTATTATTGCTATTGTCAATGTTATTGTTCTCAAACTCATCATCTTCTGACACATCTCTTTTTCCCCAATTAGACGAAAAAGAGGAAGAATCAAAATTTAAATTATCAAGTATACTGCTACTTCTTTTTTTATTATCATTAGATCTTTTATCTTCAGGTGGAACATTACTAAAAAAATTATCTTTATTTGCTTCTATTTGATAATACGATGGTACATTGTATAATGTTTCAATACCTTCTGGTATTATAACAATCAAGGAAGTTCCAACCAAAAGTCCAACACCAAATGCCGATATTATTTTCAATCTATCTTCTGACATTTGAAATACTAGTGGAATGCTACCAGCTAGAAGAGAACCAAGAAACATTGATGTTGAAAGAAGAAATAACCATAAAAATGTGTCCATGATCATTTATATACGAGTTAATTATATAATAATTATAACAAAGGAATGAATGTGTGTGTATCGTTTTTTTTTTTTTTTTTTTTGAAAAATAAAATAGAGTCCTTATTGCTTTTGACGATGATTGGTTGATTTTCAATTTAATATAAATATTTAATTAACAGTCAGTGACCTCTCTCTATTACTATGTTGGGTCGTGTAACAAACATGTTCTTTCCTCACAAAAAAAGCCGTTTTTAATCAACAAGATATTAGTTATTTTTTTATATTATTACGTCACTATATATAACGGAGAAATCCGTTATAGATGGTAATTATTATTATAGCCCATTATATATATAGAGCAAGATCCGTTATAAAGAGAGTGAGCTGTATTTTCTTTCCACAAAATAACTTACATATATCCTTTATTTATATAACATATATTCTCTCTCCTTCATTAATATGGAAGAAGAATTTAACAACAATAATGATGTATGAATGAATATCTCTATTACAATTGGCAAAATTGGTAAGGAAATTTATTTACAAATTATTTCCATTATTTTTATTTTGGTTTGATTTTTAAGATAAACGAAATAACATTATAGCTCTTTCAGATTATATTTTTAATGTTAACCATTAATTGCTGATCCGTGAATGAATCGGAACACACTCCAAATCCATGTTTCCTGAATAATGAAGTCTTTAAATATAGCAATAAACTCTTTAATTTTTTTACATAGAAATAAATATTCATTGAGATTTACTTTATTCACATTTCATTCTCTGGCACAACAAGTATATCCAGATCTGCGTTTCCCACATAGAAAAGTTTTTTATTTATCACGCTAAACTTTATTAATTTTTAGATGACAATAAAGTTATTTTCCAGATTTAACTTTATTCATATATAAAGTCATAACGCCAAATTTACTAATGTAGATCATTTGCTCTGATTGATAGTCAGATAAGTAATTTATTGAATTTGAACTACTGATTTATTATGCTTGAGCTATTAAAAAAATATACGTATTGTATAATTTTGGGAGTTGTATGGCCATTTAAAGCTATGAAAAGATCTCCTCCATACATATGTGCTGAAAATATGCATATCATTCACAAAAAAGGTAATTTATTTCCCTTTATAGGTAAGATATTCACGTTTCAACAAAAAATTTTATCATAATGATAATAGTAGATTTGGATGAAACAAACGTGTAAATTATTAATTAAATATTCTTTACATAAATGAAAACAAAGCCTAAAGGTCAAATTTTCATATAGTGCATGCCATCTATAAACGTCAAAATGGTCACCTAACTTTAAAAGTTTATAGCATAAAATTTTATATCAAACCCCCCATGTACTTTTGTTCCTTAGGTATTAAGTTACAGTACACGGTTGAATTTTTTTTTTTTTTTGATATAAAATTTTATGCTATAAACTTTTAAAGATAGGTTTTTATAACAAATTCAAAATTTTGACCATTGATGTTTATAATACACCATACGAGTAAAGTGACATGTGTCTGTACACACAGAAAATATATTGCAATAAAAAAAAACCATAAATTTTTTTAATCAAAACTTATTTGCAGATATGTAATTGCGCACATCTAATTGAAATAACTCAACTTTAATTAAATGATAAGAATAACATTATTATATACCTGCAAATCTTTACATCTTCTTGAAAACTTCTGCCCAAATTCATAACCATTAACGGGGAGGTTAAAATTTGAGATTTTTATAAGCCACTTAATCACAATGAGGTGCAGTAACATCTATCCTACTCTGCTTGTATTGTATGATGGGGCAATAATTTAATCAAATTGAATATTTAAAACCTACAAGAACATGTAGGTATTATTTACTTATCAATCTGTTAATAAACTTAATGCAACTTCTACGAAGAAAATAAAATAAGGAACGGAATTTTTGATGCCATATTAACAATGTTTTTGGTGTTGGCGATCAATTCTTACCTTAATTTGGCTTTGATATTTGAACATCAACCTCAATCTAAACATTAGCACGTTCTACTAAATTATCTTTATTGTTTATTTTTAATTATTTTTTTTTTTGAATTGGCAATACTTTACTTAAAAATTAATTTGAACTTTGAATTTAGCATCACTTCAACTCTGAGTTGGTAAAATTTAATTAAAATCACTCTAGTTGATGCTGCTACTGCTTTAATTATTGAAATCGCAATTAAACAATAGTAGTACGTAGCAGTAAGGCTCCGAACGAATCAATTCGGATTCCTAAATTTTTTTTTAAAGCATTAAATTTATAATTATACAGTGAATCTCAATTTAGTGTGCCTCAATTTAACGGATTGAGGTCCAAGAATGGTTTAATAATATTATTATTCTTCTCAATGTAATGGGTTTCTTGATATTAATAAAATAATAACGGATTTGGAAAATTTTTCTAATTGCCCAAACCATATTTTTAAATTGATAAAGGATATTATTTAGTGATGGTGGCAGAAACTATTTTTGAAAAAGGTAGTTTCACACAATACTATGGCAGCCCAATATTTTTTATAATAACAAAACATACAATACGTATCTAAATCAATCTACTTTAAAAAATATATAACTTCACCCAATTTCAGCTATTATAATAACAAATAAAAAAGTAATACAGCTGCACAATTCATTAATAAATTCATTAAATATAAACAATAAATATAACCAATGAATGATATATTTGCATCAGTCCAATTCGAATTCAAATCAGTCCGAATTTCATTGATTCATTCGGAGCCTTAAGTAGCAGTTGCAGGTGTTAATGTAGTTGTTTTATTTTTAATGCTAACATATTTATTATTATGAGTGTAATAATTGC